AGCAGACCTCTCCTGTTTCGAGGACGGCTCCCCTCAGCAGTGTACTTTGTAAATCTGCCTGTTCTGCTCTCCACTCTGTCTCTGTTGAATCCTCTCACTGCCCCTGCACCTCTGGCCTGTACCTCAGCTGTGTATGCATAAATAAGTAAATCTTTTTTAAAAAATTGCTTAAATTAGCATTTTGTTTAAAAATCAAATCTTCTAGGACTTAGATTTCCCAACAACTTGGACAACAATACAACTAGATATGAATAGATTTCAACTTTTGAAATTTACTACCTCCCTCTCTTTAAAATTCCTTTACTTGACTTTTTTTCACAACATTACTTTAGGTTTTCAAAGTACTTCTAAAAGGACATGTTTGTTGAATCATTTCTCCTCTTATACTCTAAAAAATAGGCTTTTTATTCTGGTCCTCAAAATGCTACACTTTCCATTCATATCACATGATTTCCTAAGGGAAAGATGACTGAAATAACTGAAAGACTCCATGCCCAGGCAGGGCTGCCATGTCAGTGAGTGTATCACTGCTTGCCAGTATCAGCCTCATCAGCTTCCTGGACTTGGCTCAAAAAAAGCTTCCCCAGACTATTCTCTAGCACCTTCTCAGGTCAACCCTCCAAATTTAAACGATTCAATCCATAAGTGGTTATCATAGTTCCAGTTTCTTCTTAAATTGGAAATACATTGGTTTTAAAATCTAGAATGTATATCAATAAATATTTATGCTGAGATATGTAGGGAATCAATTGTCTTAAGGTCTGCAACTTTTTCAGTGGTTAGGTGGAAACGGCTGTATATATAGAAAGAAGGGGTGGAGGAGGAAAGGGAGACTATTGCGTCTAGATATAGGGTTTCTATTGAACATCTGCTTTAAATTTTCAAAATAAAGAGTTGAGGAAAAATACTCTGTGATGTTTAACTCCAAATAATTTCAGTGGTTGAAAACCCGCTTCCATTAAGATTTTCCTGTCGTTTTCCCTGCAGTTCCTTTCTGAGAAAATGACTAAAATAATGACTTCAAGTACCTCTCCTGTGTTAGAAAAGTTTCTTGTAATAAGGTTGCTGGGATTAGTGAATTAGGATAGTTTCACATATTAGAAATGCTCCAAATCTACATAGTGACTTAATGGAAATTCTTTAATGTATTTTAGAATGTAGAACACAAGAGAGTTTTGATGTTAGTATTAACTAATTATATATATATATATATCTTTTTTTGTGTTCTTAAGAGTTATACTTTAAGTTAAGTACATGTTTCTCTCTCAAACTATATGGGAAATGTATCTTACTATCTTTTTATTCCACAAAACAACAGCATATATTAAATTTCAGTTTGATTTTAAAAATAACTGAAAGCAAAAGCATGTGATGAGATTTAAAATTAAGATTAACACCATTTTGAACATAATATGAAAACTGCTTATAACATTATTGTGCCTGGAGGTCTAATTATGGTATTACCAAGGTGATTTTATCATTTGGAAATTATGCAAAAAGGAGTATCACCCTTACTGATGATACCACATTTAGATTCAATTTGATGAACAGACTGCTAGAGATGCCAAGATCAAAGATGAATGAGCTGTAGTACCTAAATTTCAGAAGCTCATAATCTAGTGGGAAAGCTAGGGAAATATATAAATGCAAGAAATTAAACATAAAACAAGCCATTATTTTTAACAAGAAAGTGGCATCAGTGAAGAGTTCAATCAAAAGAATGAATATGAAGAAAGGCATGGAAACAGCACATTTAAAGCGCAGAGTAAGGGGAAATTGCAGTGTCACCAGGGAAAGAGGCTGATTAGGAATCTATGTAAGGACTTTGACAAGCATAATAAAAATGCAAAACTTTATTACATTCTAGTCTGTGTTTATTATCTAGACAAGTAAAAGTAAAAATAAACATTACCCTCAAGGGAATTCATAAGAAAAGTGGGTAAAAATAAACATTACCCTCAAGGGAATTCATAAGAAAAGTGGGGAATTCATAAGAAAAGAATACGGAGGAATTGGCTGCAGCCACTACCCTGGGAGTGAAGCTGGGCCTCAGGAATGCATGTGGGTGCTATCATCAGGCTTCATTCCATATATTCTCACTTTTGCTCCTTTCTTCAATCTCTCATATAGACTGTATTCTTTGCATGGCTGGAAATGTGGTTTCTAATCTCTTGTGAACTTTACATATTTGTTTTAGTCACCAAAAGAGAATGAGCAATTGTTTTTGTCTCTAGCTTAAAATCCTGGGGCAAAACTCATTGTCTGGGGCTTGTTTGAATTTCCTTCCCAAACAAATCAAATCTTCGTTTGGTCAAGATCATGACTGTGTCAGAACATAGCAGCTCAAACAGGAACTAGGCGGATGAACTAAGGAGGTCAGGATCTAGAATAAGGGAGGAGGAAGGCCAAGCTTTCTGCCTTTTCAAGCTTTCTGTCCTTTGCCTTCACTGGCCTGTACACATGGTTTAATGTTTTACTACAACTACAATTTATTTTAGAGATTTATTTAGTCATGCACATAAGAACTGGAATAAATCAGAGGTTCAGGGAGCTGAGGATTCACTACAGACAGAGTAGGGAGCAGAACAGGTGATTTACTGAAACACACTGCTGAGGAGAGCAGTGAGCAACACAGAAGTCTGCTGTGCCATGTGGGTCAGCTACACGGTCAAGGATTGAACACAGGCCACAGTGGCTGGAGATAGCTTGATAGTGCTGACACTGTAACTCCTGCAGTATAGGGAGGCCCTATAATTAATTTTAAGCTATTTTTCAACCTTTTTTCTTTCGCCAATATATCAATTGATGCTTTCTTTTCAATAAGTTGATTAGTGATTACTAGAGCATGATAATATGACTTTCCTTACTATTTTTGAGTTTAGCATGTGAATTTTGTAATATGTTCATATTTATTAAGTCAAAGTAAGATATACTATAACTCTAAATGCTGGTTACCTCACCTCTACTATATGACTGAATACGACACTGAGCATCTCTTTATATGTACCCTTTTAAAAGATACCATGGGTCACAAAAAATTAGCTACCAGGCCCTTCCTGGTGGCACAACAGGTTAAAGCACAGCACTAGGAAGCTTTCCAGCAACTGCAGCCTGAGTTTGATCCCCAGCCAGGGAGCTGACCCATATGGCGTGGCAGACCTCTCCTGACTCGCCTACTGTTTCTCTCAGTAGCGTATTTCAGTCAATCTGCCTGTCTGCTCCCACTCTGTTCCTGGTGAATGCTCTCATCCCTTGCACCTCTGGCCTGTACCCCAGTTCTTGTATGCATAAAATAAATAAATATAAAAAAAAAAAAACCCTGTAGATCACTACTACCAGAAAAGCCATCAGTACTACCAGAAAAGCTACTGAAAGAATATGGTGTAATTAGAAAATTATGACCAAATTTGTTTGGTTATTACTACGTGCTTCCTGAGGAAAGGGAAGTTAGTAAATACTTTCTCCTCTTCAACATGGCTATTAGCTTCCTGTGCCTTAAGTTAGCCTAGGCTGCTCAGAAAATAGAGGAAGTGGCATAGGATACAAAGAAATTTCTAAATTTATTAAAAATAGATATTTCCTTTGTAAAATTACAACTTTTATTCTGAGTATTAAAATTGAGTGAAAGGAGCTCCAGGGATTACGTGACACCAAAGAAAAGAGTCAAAACCTTTGTTTCCTATCTTTCCCATGTAGGCCTTCATAAAAACTGGATTGCTTTTGCTTTCAGTGGAAGCAAAAAGGACAGTTTTCTGTGTTTTTTCATTAATGTTTTAATGTCAGGGGTCCCAGTTAGATGGGATCTAAGGTTAATGCTTGAACTATCTTTATAGGGTCTTATCCCCAACAGTATAACTGTAACACCTAAATCTAAGGAACAAATACAAAGGCAAACAGAATTCTAAGCTGCTCTCTTAAGTACAGGCTGACTGAATGTGAAGAAATATCACTCCAGCAATCAGAGGACTAAGCAGATTAAAACTCTGTTTATCAAAAGGAATATTATCATGTTGGGCCTGATATAAATACATGAGCCCTTAAAAACCTGTCAATCACTCTTTTCTTTCCTGGCTGCCCGAAAATCCAATATCAGCATGAACATAGCAACTAGATAGATCAGGAAGTTCATGATCAACCAACAACATGGAAAGTATCAAAGTTTAATGCAGAAATTCAGGAAAGACTAGCTAAAATGTATACAAGACGCCCCTGATATCATCTTGGTATTTTGATTCAGAACCATTTTAATGGTGTCAAGACATCTGGCTTTGGCTTGATTTACGGTTCCTTGGATTCCATAAAGAAAAACGAACCCAAATGTAGACCTGCAAGGCCATGCCTATGTGAGTAGAAAAAAACAGCAAAAAAAAAAAAAAAAAAAAAAAAAAAAAAATCTCAAGCAAATAATGAAAGGAACAAAGAAAAGAATGAAAGAAGTAAGGGACTGAAAAGGCCAGTGTTGATGCTGGCAAAAAGCAATAAGGATTCTGCAGTGACTTTATCTGTGGTGATTGTACAGATTTTTTTAAGAGAAAATTAATAAATTAAAACCTTAAACAAAAAAGGTTTGAGCAAAAATGGTCTGAGCCATTCCTGCATGAGATTCCAGATGAGATGGGATTCATGAGGGGGCCACACAGCAAACTGCAGGTAGTCTTCAGGAGTTAAAAGGAACTTAGCTTGGATTAATGAATTATGCTAAGCATGAGATAATAAATAATAAGTAACTAAATTTGTTACACAGCAATAGAAATCTGACATATGTGTATTATCTTTATTGAATGTATATTAAGACATATACTGGAACATTCTGGAATTTAAAGATAAGTGCTTCAAACTGACATAACAACCATGTTTCTTATCATCAAACTAATAACAATTATTTACAAATTTTAGGGTACTCATTAAAATTACTTGGCAATATTTAAGATATAGCTTAGCAATTTGATTATACTTTTGTCAAAAATCAAAGATACATAAAGCATACTCAGTAAGATTACCTTAATATCCCGAGTTTCATATGCTATCCTGTGGTCAGTGACTCTATCCTGGGTGAAATTGTATGTCCGAATTCTTTCTGACTGGGCTCTTGTTCCCACCTTTGCCAAACAAAAGTAACTCATATTTTAACCTCATAATTATCTTTATTGCAATGGAAAAGAGTACTTGTAAATGACTTTTCTATTTAAACAGCTTAAATGTTTTCTCAAGGTCATATAAACAAAATGAAAAGGAACACGAATGGGCAGAACTTAATGTTTAAAATTATACGTTTGTAAAATTTAGTTACAGAACAAGGATTATTATTGTTATTATTATTATTATAATTATTGGTGCTTCAAATGCTAAAAACCAAATTATCTTTCTATACTGAACAGTTTTTCCTCCTGGTTTCTATAAATGACAGCATGGTTCTCTCTTTGATCCAAACAGAAAACTCTGACATCCTGAAATTTAACAAATATTTCACAGGAACTTAATGTCAGCCAACCTTTGATACAGACCCTGGGAGAGAAACTAGTTTCAGCTCATCCATTCTCTAACTGCTCACTTTAAACAGTTTTAAGGATCTATTATCTTCTATTGCCTGTCATTCAAAAGTTCCTTATTTTTACTTAACATTCCTGTAAAAATCTCAGCTTTCACTTTTCTGCTTAAATTGTGTTGCTCAGCTTAGACTTCCTGATAAGTTTTCTGATATATTTTCTTCTTTACCAAGTAGACACACTCAACTCATCATTCAAGGCACTTCATAATGGGGCCAACTTTCCATATTTCTGAAAATTATGTTAACCTCTATGATGCCACTTATTATAGCATACCGGTATTATGCTGTATCTGTGAAAATATCATCAGAAAGGATGCCCTTTCTTAATACTCTACTACCATTTGTGCCTTTCCTGGTCCCAGCAATTGGAATACATTATCTTCTTCCTTTGGAGCCCCATACACTTGGAATCTTCTTCATGGCACCCACAACTTGCCTTATGTTATATTCCTCTTAGTCTGCTCATCTCTCCTATCTCCAGAGTACACAACATTTATAGAACTCTTTCTTTTACATTTTAAAAAGACAGTTCAATAAGCAATATGAAACTAACTTCTTAAAGAGCTGATCATCAGAATTTTTAAAAATTAAACACTCTAGCCACAAATATACTAAATCAGTAATTACATAATTTAGAATATTCCCCAGATCATGCATTGTGCAAGCAACCAGTTTTGAAAACTTCCATTGCAAAGCACCTTTTAAGGCCTAGGATTGCACCCAACAGACCCTACTCTGGGGTGGGGCCTAGACATCTACAAAGTTCTTTTTTTCCCAGAACTGGGGTACAGGCCAGAGATGTCAGGGGTGAGAGGATTCACCAGAGACAGAATGGGGAGCAGAACAGTCAGATGTACTGAAATATACTGCTGAGGGGAGCAGCAGGTAGGCTAGGAGAGGTCTGCCATGCCATGCAGGTCACCCCCCTGGCTGGGGTTTGAACTCATGCTGCAGTGGCTGCGATAGCTTCATAGTGCTGTGCTTTAAGCTATTTCTTCAAATAAATGGAGTAAGGGTTGAGACCTTGGCATAATGCCTTCCTTAAAAAAGCTACTATTGGACCCTCCTGGTGGCACAGTGGGTTAAAGCACAGCACTAAGAAGCCAAAGCCACTTCAGCATGAGTTCGAGCCCCTCCCTGGAGGTGATCCACATGGCCTGGCAGACCTCTCCTGACTGGCCCGCTGCTCCCCTCAGCAGTGGACTTCATTTGCTCCCTGCTCTGTGTCTGTGAATTCTCTCACTGCCCCTGCACCTCTGGCCTGTACCCCAGCTCTGTATGCACAAATAAGTCAATCTTAAAAAAAAAAAAAAGCTACTATTTGAAAAAAAAAATCTAATCATTAGAAACATTCAATATAGATGGCAGAAGATAAAGTCTTATTCTTGGCATCTTAGGTCAGACTACTAAAGAAAGAGAAGCACAATTTGCATATGGTCATTCTTGAATACTTATCTTAAAAACTACTATGTGATACATCTGATGTCAAAATGTCAAATGACAGGTAAGTTTCATTGTATTTTCTTAATCAAATGTGGCAGAACTGATTCTGCTCCTTGTCACTACTTGCCAAGAAGTAATGGTTTTTTAATGAGCATCCCTATTTCCAAATGTATATGCTGATGTTGCTCCACAATCTGGGAGCAACCATAAATAAAGCATTACTGTATTATTCATCCTGGCAGTTATGACTTACAAATGAGAATATGTGGATGAGGAAAGCTGAAAGGGCAAAAATGTGAAAAGCCTAGGATATTCAGGTAAAAGGGATAACTCATGCTTAGTTTCATACAAATCATTATCCAAAAAAGTTCATAAAATTGTCTAAATTTACTGTGGCTCACCTATCTTGAAATAATCCAAAACACAGTTATTTTGGGATTCTAATTCTCTTTCACTCTCAAAGACAAACTTTACCTTTTTATAATGTAAATCATATCACACTTGTTTTACTTAAAACAATGGGACCACTACTTTGCTTAAAACTTTTCTATTTATGTATCTGAATAAATGGTATTATGCATGTATATAGCAGACTCCAAGAAGTACAAAAACTACCCCTTGTTCCCAGATTCCAGCAGTAGTATTCACTGTTACCTGTCTTTACAGTTCTATTTATTTCTGATCCCTCAGAGAGTTATAATAAAAACATTGTCTTTAAATAAAAATATCTAAAAGTCTACTTGTCCTTTAAGCCAGTTTCCTCTCAAGATAATCCTCATATAAACCCTGGAGGGAAGTAACTGGAAAATAATTTTTAGTTTGTGTATGTCATATATTCTTTTGTAAACTGGCATGTCCAAGTTTAGCCATAATCTCTTGGTACATATGCACTCAAATTATTGCTTGTTTACAAATGAGCATATTTCTCTTAAGATATTTCCACTCAATCAAAAATAAATACTACATTTTCCATTTAAAATGATGAATTTTTGTATGGTTATTTTGTTAGTAAATCTTACCTGCAGTTTTCTAGCACTCTGTTGTTGACACTTGTCTTTCTCAATAATCTGCTGGTAAAGTCTAGCTCTTAATACACGCAAAGCTATTTCTTTGTTTCTTATCTGTGATCGTTCTTGTTGGCATTCTACCACAAGCCCTGAAAAATAATAGGGATCAGAGGTAAACTGCAGCTCCCACAAACCAAATTTAGCCAGAAGTTGAGGAACACTTTAAAGGAGGAAATGCCTGTCAGGACAAAATTATTAAGAGTTAAAAATATTTTAAGATTTAGCACACTTTGGAAACTATACCTGCGTTATGATAGTAATAGCTGTAAATGGTAATTAGATTCTGATACCTAAATGAGATGGTTCAGATGAGAAGCATCATTCTAGATGTTTATACACTCTTTAACTCCCAGAGTTCTGCTCTCTATCCTTGCTCATCCAGACACTATCAGAGCTTAACAAATAGCAGAGTACTGCCACCTCTATACCCTATTGCTCCAGATGTTTTACTCAAAAAGCACTCAGCTTTTCCCCTTTCAGTCACCAACACAGAACTTATATTTTAAAATAACCTTATAGACAGAAAGCAATGAAAAGAAGCTAGTCAAAGTCTCTAAAAGAAGTGTTTATACTGAATCTGTTCCTCAGTAGTTTGGGGTCTGACTTCAGCTAGTCAGCACATCCAACTATATACATGTTTCACTATCCAATTTCTGGATTTGGGTGGGTTTTGGCTCACCCTACAGTTAGTTACTTAGCACAAGCCTAGCCTGAAAGGTGATCCCTGAGACTTCAGGCTTTTCTATTAACGTTGCAACAACCACTGTGAAAGTCTGTGTTCAATCTGATTCATAGAGATAAAATGTATTTTTTTTCTGAACTACAAAAAACAAAATTAAAGAACTATTAGCTTAGGCAAACTGTACTCATATTATGGTGATTATTTTGCTGAATTTTCAAAATTTAATTAAATTTGTGTAAACCCTCCAAAAAAGTTCACATCTTTTAGGCATTTGCCTGATATCCTCTTGAATCTGGTATTCTTTTTCTCTACCACCCAGAGTAATATAAAAATTTCCAATTTAGGATGGCCAGACATTCATGAGCTTTCCTTCAAATGGTTGTCAGCTGATTTTGGTCAAAATACCTGCACTAATCCTCTGGCTCAAGCCAGAATGTTTAACATAAAACTCTTATGTACTAGCTCAGTAAATGCTAAGAAAATGACTTTAATAAACTAGTTACAGAGAAGTATTCAGCCATAAATATTCTCTTAGGATTTGGGGAGAGCAGGGTATGCTAAGTAACAGGAATGCTATTGAAATAAGTTGCTGGGATTGTTTAAAAACTATAAAAGGGCTTTGGAAAAGTAAAATTTTTTTCAGTATTATTTCAATACTCTATAGTAGATTCCAAAATCTTAGAAGACAATAGTACTACGTGGGCATTTAACATATATTTTCTGAATAACTAAGATATTTTATTTAAAAGGTTTACATTTGGCCCTCCCTGGTGGCGCAGCGGGTTAAAGCACAGCACTGAGAATCTAAAGCCACTTACGCATGAATTCGATTCCCACCTGCCCCGGAGGTGACCACATGGCGTGGCAGACCTCTCCTGACCCACCCGCTGCTCCCCTCAGCAGTGTACTTCATCGATCTGCCTGTTCTGCTCCCTACTCTGTCTCTGGTGAATCCTCTCACCCTCTGTATCTCTGGCCTGTATCCCAGTTCTATATGAATAAATAAATAAATCTTTAAAAAAAAAAACAAAGCAAACCTGTAGGTTTTGCTTACCTGTGGGAACATGGACAAGTCTGACAGCACTATCAGTTGTATTAACATGCTGCCCTCCTGCTCCTTTGGCTCGAAATGTGTCTATTCGCAAATCCTTGGGATCCACTTTCACATCTACCTAGAACAAAAGGTACAGCATATAAGGTCAATTCCACACTCAGCTTTAATACTATATTTATTCCAAGATTTCTCAAATAACTGTACTGTGGTTTTGTGTTGAAATATTATAGCCATAAAAATTATGATGAAAGAACTTACATCAAAAAAAGAACCATAAATTCTCTATTCTACTGGATGTTATTTTATAATGCTGACTTAGATGCTATGAGATCAATGAATTTTATAGTCTTTTAAGTTTCATCATCCATCATCCTACAAAGCTACATTGGATAGAATATACCATATATATTTTTGGCCTCTAAGGCTATAAGAGAATAATTTACAAAGAAGATTTATTTATTTATGAAACAGAACTAGGGTATAAGCCAGAGATGTAGGGGCAATGAGAGAATTCACCAGAGACAGAGTGGGGAGCAGAACAGGCAGATTGACAAAGTATGCTGGAGACAGGAAAGGTCTGCTTCACCATGTGGGTCAGCTCCCTGGCGGGGGATCAAACTTGTGCTGAGCCACCTATGGCTAGCTTTGTAGTACTGTGCTTTAACACACTGCGCCAACAGGGAGAGCCCAGAATAATTTTTTAAGTCACTAAATTAGTAACAATTTGTACAGTGTTTGTAGGAAACTTTATATCTAGACAAGTAAACACAATAAAATTATATACATATAAAATATAATCAGTTACAAAGTATGCTGCTTTTGAGAAAAAGCTAACATTTTATCCCACAATTATCATTATTTGTATGAATGACAGCCTGCAAATGACTTTTCTCTTTGAAAAGTACACTAATAACAGGATCAAAGATAGATTCTAATATAATCTTGGTTGTTATTTTGTTTCCTTTGCAATGAGTACTATATGGAGAAAAAATTATACAACTTTTGTAAAAATATTCGTGTTGGCTACCTTAAAATATTAACAAATGCTAAAGAGATGAAAAGTAATGCACCCTAGAGATTGTTTAATAATTGTAAAGGCTTATTTTTACAGTGGAGATATATTTGTGATGACTATCTTGACTATGTTCAAACTAATGCTCACTAAGTGGGACAATTTAATATTATGCACTTCTAAAATACAACATAAATAAAACAATATTTATGAAGTATTTCTGCACAAAGAGCATAATCAGAATAGAATGGAACATTCAAATATAACTTTCAATAAAATATAGGGTTAAAGGGGAAAAAAATTAGAGTACCATGAGGAAACAATCAGATGAATCCAGAATGTAAAACAGAACAATGTTCCAGACTTTTCAGAGAGCAAAAGTCACTTAAAAAAGAAAAACAGGCCCTCCCTGGTGGCGCAGCGGATTAAAGCACAGCACTGAGAATCTAAAGCCACTTCCGCATGAGTTCGATTCCCGCCTGCCCCGGAGGTGACCACATGGTGTGGCAGACCTCTCCTGACCCGCCCGCTGCTCCCCTCAGCAGTGTACTTCGTTGATCTGCCTGTTCTGTTCCCCGCTCTGTCTCTGGTGAAGCCTCTCACTGCCCCTGAGCCTCTGGCCTGTACCCCAGTTCTGTATGCACAAATAAATAAAATCTTTAAAAAAAAAAAAAGAAAAACAAAACCAGCAGGTTAAAATGCAGCACTGTGAAGCTGACAGCGGAGGCTTCGGATCCCAGCACTGAAAGTGACCCACATGGAGCAGCAGACCTCTCCTGTTTCGCCCGCTGCTCCCCTTAGCAGTGTATTTCAGTCAATCTGCCTGTTCTGCTCTCTACTCTGTCTCTAGTGAATCCTTTCACTGCCCCTGCACCTCTGGCCTGTACCCCAGTTCTGTATGCATAAATTTAAAAAAAAAATTCTTAAAAAAAACCCACACAACTGTTCAAGGTCTTGTTCCAGAGATAAAACAACTAATTGCAATGTGTAAAATTTGATGGGATCCTGGTTTGAAAAAAGAGCAATAAAAATACTTCTGGGGAAAATACAAAATGAATTAGATATTAATTATAAGTATTGTGATTTACAGTAATACATATTAAGTCTTCATCTGCTTCCTTGTGCAGCGTTCCTAAAGCCCTCAGAATTTCCTAATGAAAAAAACATTATTCTTAAGTTATTTATAATAAGCCCTTTCTATCACACCTGAGTTTATGTTAATTGTTGGAGACCCCCTAAGGCATGAAGTGCTGAGATAAGGAGAATATTGGGGTTGTGACTGGAACACTGATCAATATGTGCTGGAAGACTGGCCTGTGTCCAGACTTTAATGTCTTTTCTTGTGTTAGCAAAGCTAGGCCTGAGAAAAAGGCAAGATTAGAAAGGAACTACAATATACCTGATAATACAGAACCTTGGCAGTGAATGTGTACCCCAACAAGACTAAATACTAAGAGAATGATTCACTATCTAGTAACTAACAAGGGGAGGGGGGCAGTTCATATCAATAAAAATGAGTTTCATGGAGCACTTGAATGCTTCAGGTCTGAATGAGAAGCCTTGCATCCCCTGGGTCCTACTTCTTTTAAATTCTCTCTTATATCTTCATTTCTTTGTTTCTTGGTTCTTTCAGATTCTTCTCCTCAACCCTGTTTACTGGAGCTGGTCTCTGGCAGTTAGTAAGGTAATTTTTACAAAGTTCTTAGATAACACAGTATGGCAGCTGATAGCCAGGGGAACCAACTATTTGATGAAAGGGTATCACCCTTCCCCAATTTCTTGGAAGGGGAAAAGGACTAGAAGTTGAATTCATCCCCACCAAAAATGACTATATCAATTGTGCATGCCTGTTGAAGCCTTCATAAAAATCCCAAAAGCATAGTGTTCTGAGCTTACACCTGGTGAACAGGTGAAGGTGCTGGGACAGTGGTAAGCCTGGAAGCTGTGTACCTCTTTCCATACTGTTTGCCCAGTGCTTCTCATCCATGTGGCTATTCCTCAGTTGTACCTTTAATAATAAACCATAATCTCATACGTAAATGTTTTTCTGAGTTCTTTGAGCCATTGTCAAAACTGAGGAGTGAATGTAGAACCCTCCCAATTTTTATAGTCAGTCGTTCAGATGCACAAGAGACTACGTGAACTTGTAATTGGCCTCTAAGTAGGAGAAGAGGCAGTCTTGTGGGACTGAGTCCTTAACCTTGTGGATTCTGTTTTTTTTTTTTTTTTTTTAAAGAAATGACTTCTACTTAAATAATCAATAATATTGTTTGGGAATAAGAAAGGCAACTTTAGCTGAGGAAGAGTTAAGGATTTTCTAGAAGCTAAGCTTCTCATTCAATGTTCATTGATAAAGAGTGAGTTTTCAATGCCTCCATGTAAGGTTACCTCATCTGGTTGAGGAAGCACAATGACTGACATTGTTCCTGTGTGAATACGCTGCATCCTTGATGACAGGCCCACCTCAGGGATTCTCTGGACTCGATGAATTCCACCTTCATACTTCAAATGCTTATAGACATCGTCACCAGAAATTCGAGCAGCTGCATGATGCAACCCACCTAGAAAAAAGATTATCCAGAAATATTAGTGAATTATACTTTGACAGAGGTGAGGATCCTAAATGGTTCTTAAGCTAAGGCCTACATATGAGTATAGAGTCTGAGATGAAAACATATTTTCCCAACATATATGATTCATAGAAGGAAGCATGTCAAAATACCATTTATGATTATCTCTGGGGAACAAAAGAACTGATTTTCATTTGTATTTTTTATATATTTTTTTGTTTCTAACTTTCTATAAAGACAAGTTTCACTTTTTATAAAAATGCTATTAGGAAAAAAAAATGCTATTAGGAAAAAAAAGAAAACTGGAATTTTTCTGCATTGAATTGTCCTATACAATCTTAGGAGAATATGAACATTACATAAAGATAATCAAAAACATAATTATTTGATAATAAGAAACAAATTTATAGGTCTTCCCAGGTTTTCAAAAATCTGAAATTTCACTATCTGTGAAATAGAGAGATTATCACAATAAAATCTTAACACCTAAGCTAACTTCTAACTGGTCATGTTTTTAAAAAAGTACTTTTATTATACAGTGCTATATAGACATAGAAACCACACGATTAAATGGATGATTTAGGAATCGCAAAGTCAAAAAAAAGAACATAGTTACCTGAAAAGTCTTCCTATATGCCCCTTCCCAGTTACAAACTCCTCCCTTTCTCACAGGTAGCCACTATCTGGACTTTCTTTCCTTCTGTGGTTATAATTTTATTACCTAATATGCAGCCCTATGTACTACAGTTTAGTCCTGTCTATTAAAAATTTGGTATGTCTTTGAAATCTCACAATCTATAGGTTCAGAATCTTTCATTTCCTACAAATACTCTGTTGAGGAATTTCGGCTATTGACTTGCAGAATTTCTTACTGTCTGGTTTTGCTGACTGCATTCTCTTCATGTAATTCAACCTGTTCTCTGTATTGGCTGCAATTTGGCATCTGGGATCCAGAGACTGGAAGAGGCAGTACCTCAAGTCCCCTGGCAAGACGACAAGGGACACAGAACCTTTGGTTGTTTCTCTTTTTAAGGTCTTGACAGTCTTTGAAGCTTAATGTATCCTGGGGATTGTAAAATGGTAACAGTCTAATTCTGTAATTTCTTACTTATTAGTTAAAATACATTTATAAAGAGACACTTATAAGCTCCTTAACCAAAACTACATTTTCTTGAGTGAATTCCATTGATTTCTAGCACAGTGTTCCTATCTAAAAAAAAAAAAAAAAAGTGATGAAAAATCTCATTTTCTTTCTGTATAAGTCACTGGCTCTTTTTTCTCCATGTCTAAAATGTTATTTTTTTTTAATTTTAAAAAAATATCCAGTATTTCAGTAGAATTTGCCTTACTCAAGTGTTGCTCATTCTGGCTGGATAGCTTCCTATGTGATCTTTAAATATAAGGCTTTATATTCATTTTTTCTAATTCAAAGGAACTTTCTTAAAATATAGATGTTAATATTTATGACAGGCAGCTTCAGAGATAGCCCCAAAGATCTCTACCTCCTAGTCTTCACATTTAGTACCCTCTCAGATAATCTCACATTATTTTTTCTAAACTAATTATCTCAAAATTTTAATATAATAATTATTTTAATGAACAGAGGTTTATTCTTTGTATTTTATTTTAAAGTTGTATTAGTGATATATTTCCCTTTTTTCCCTTTTTTTTGAAGAAAGTTCTTTTTATTTAAAAAAAAAATCTCTGCCAGTGACTTAGTGTATTTTTTAAAAAAGAATTCCCAACCATTTTTTAGGTATATTCTATATACCTGGAACAAAATCATCTTCCTCATTTATTCTTAGTATTAGAAATTATCTCTTTGCTAAAAGCCATCAAGTATGTCTCCTCATATCTGTTCTTTCACCAAATCTGATTACACAACTTCAGCATTTTCTAAATATTTCTAAATGAATGCTCACCATTACCTTAATCTACAGAATTCAAAAACCACTTACCATTATTCTTCCCAAATGGAGTCTGCCTTCCAACTTCTATTCCATTCAGTGGTATGAATGAATATCAAAATCTTCCTGGCTAGAAAGATTAGAACCCCTTGAGGTTCACTCCTTTGTATAAGAATAGACTACTGGGTCTATTCTGTGTCAGAATAGAAAGTAGCTCTGGATAACACAGACTTACCTTAGGATTGTACTAAGATACTATATTGTGTGAATTTGGGTTAGGAACTTATTCTCTAAGCCTAGATCCTCATCTATAAAATGGGATTAATGGTATGTATTTCCAAAAATAAAAGTGCATAGGATTAGATTCTCAAATAATCTATATTGCACATAAAACAGTAGGCAAGCAACAGCCCAGTGTATATTCAGTCAGTTTCCAAATTTTGCCCATTCTTCCTTTAAAGGTTTCTCACATGGTTCCCTCCTCCCTATTGTAACTCTTAGTCCTTCCTGGACTGTTCTAATAACCTCTTTGCAGTCCACCTTAAATATATTCTCTTCAATCTATTCTGCGTACTGTTGTTAAAATAATCTTCTTAAAAAAAATATATATATATATCATATATTATTGTTATTAATAAAGTCCTCAGTAGCTCCCTATTCCTTAATAATGATGATCTGTTCAGCTTCTACGGCTGTTAAAACTCAACTCACTTGAAACTATTTCCTGTTACTTCCCATCACAATATACTTTGATAACTGACTTCCTCATTATCCTCATGCACACTAAGATCTGTCCCACCACTATGCTGCTACTCATGTGATTTCTTCCCTTGGCTGTTACTGCCCTTCCCTTTCCTAACTACTAGCTGTATTTAAAATCTGTACCACACACAACTTACATCACTTCTAGATGAGTTAGGGGGCAAAAGGGAGGGAAAAAGAACTACGTTAAGAGTTTCTGATTTAATATATTTGAGTCCCTAAAAGGTTTATGGAATTGCACAGTTATTATTATGTTGTATATGTTTTTTAAAGATTTATTTAGTTATGCATACAGAATTGGGGTACAGGCCTGAGGTGCAGGGGCAGTGAGAGGATTCACCAGAGACAGAGTGTGGAGCAGAACAGGAAGACCTCCAGCGTGGGGATCCAACTCCTGCTGAAGTGGCTTTAGCTCCTTAGTGCTGTGCTGTAACCCACTGCGCCACCAGGGAGGGCCCTATGCTGTATAATTTTTATCCGCCCAACTGAAGTGGAAACTTATTGAAAATAAAGACAAATAATAATTTTTTTCTGTGTTTCCATGAAAATCTACTACATCTTTAATCCTAGATTTCAATTATACCACAATATATAATAAAGTTCTTTGGGATAAAACCTTAACATATCTTTGTAACAAAGAACAATGATTTTCAAGAAAAAATGTATATATCTGTTCTCTCCAGGGAAATTTTCTATAATTCAGATTTTCATTCACTTCCTTTACTCTACTAGTTAAGAATTCCCCTATAAGCTATAGTCATAGTATTTGATAAGCTCACATCACATCATACAGTAGATATAATAAAAATGTTTTTAAAAATAGGACAAAATGATTCTAATCAAAATCAGAAATAATTTTCAGTATCATTTATGGATGTGCCTACCATAGTCAGCTGGTGTATAATTCAGAAGTTCAAATTTCCAGTGCTTAAACTGTGAGTAATTCTGGTACATGTCAAATACTTCTCGGGTAAACTGTTGGCAAATATCACCTAAAAGAAAATACATAAAATATTTAGTCGACAGAAATGTCTAAGAGACCCATTATCGGGTATAAACTCCTTAAGAATGAAGAGTATCTATTTCAAAGTGAAACATAACAGATTTTTAAAGTAACAGTGTGGCAAATCAAGGTAAAGTGTACATTTTTTTAGATCATTCACAGTGAAATTAATTTACAGACCTCCAGTAGTTCTTCCAGATGTCACCTCTAAAATAACATCATTTTTGTCATACTTCTCCTTTGGCACTAGAATCTGGAAAAGCTGAAAAAGAGGGAAAAAATCAGCCTCAGTGTGTACACTTTCTATGGCACACTAATATAACATGAACTTAGATGAAAGGTCCCCAAACATCAAAAAATCAGTAATTAACAAAATCATATAGCATCCCAACAAGGCCTAGTACTAAGATACTATAATAAGTAGAACTAATTAGACCTAAAATAATCAATTCATGCTAACAATGAAGTTACTTGTCAGGATATTCTCTACCGTACTATAGATTATCTTAATTTTCTAAAATGCAGAAGTTTAGATCAAAGTCTAGCATTTCCACTCAATTTTCTTCAGATATTGACTCTTATTAGTTCTAAACAATAGCTGCTTTCATATAAGAAATGAAGTAAAGCTTTGAACAGTTTCATTTGGAGAAAATGAGAAATCTACAAATGATTGAGTATTCATAAATCTGACAGCAGACACCAGACCATGTGCCACGTCCTTTCAGTAGAGGCACCCATTTTAGACAATGTTGAGCACTCCCAACAAAGGCTCATATTTTTTCTCATCTGTGAGAAGAAAAAAAAAAGAGCTTTCTAAGGGAGCTCTCTGTGCTATCAAGCTATCACCAGTCACTGAAGCATGAGTTTGATCGCTGCCCAGGGAGCTAAACCACATGGCAAAGCAGACCCCTCCTGTCTCGCCTGCTGCTCAGTAGAACCGGCTGTTTTGTTTCTCACTCCATCTCTAGAAAATACTCTCACCCCCTACACTTCTCACCTATACCCAGTTCTTCTATGAATAAATAAAAATAAATCTTAAAAAATGGGGGGACTATCTAACAGAGAAAGTAACCAATTTCCTCTAGGAAGAAAAGGGGAGCAATTTGGTTATGACTAAATGGACTTCCAAATTAAACAAACATCTACTTGTCACCACTCTGCTTACTGTCAGTATTTAAATATTCCACTTCTGCTAGAATTGACACAGTTTGCAGGAGAATTAGACTGAGTCAGGCATCTTACTCCTGCCTTTGATTAGCTGGTTAAATTAGTAGTAAAAATTAACAGATATCTTTATCTCACCTCCCTTACCTCCCTCAACCTCTCCAAAAGCCCCTCCACTAGGTTCCCAGAGTAGGGAAGACTGAAATTGAGGATTATAAAAATGATAGAGGGGAACATGGTTATAGTACTGTTTTTCAATGTTTTAGACAAGTCATTTATTAAACTAGTAGCTAAAGACTTGTGCTAATTAACTGTCACTATATCCTTAAGCCTCTCCTTTCTACCAGCATGCAAAATCTTTAATCTTTAACTAAAAGCACTCCACTTTCTAAGTCTTAAAACCCCTTGACACTCCTCCATGGTAAATGAAATTTCTTTATCAGCCATTGTTCCCTCTCTTTAAAATTAATAGATTCAGCTATGCAGTATATTTTTGCTTGGGGTTAGAGGTGGAGATGGATGTGTGGGGAGCAGGTTGTTGTTTTATTCTTTAACATCACAATTTCTTCAAACTCATTTTGTAGCAAATTTTAGCACTAATCCAGCTTAATCATTTATTGTAAAAGACTTAAAACTGGTATTTGGAGAGTGATTGATTACAAAGCATTCTTTTATATTAACACCTATTGAGATTTGTTTACCTCTCAAAACATACCTCATTGTACAACATGTTGATGTTTTGAGCAATGGTTTGCCTTTCTTCCAATGCAAGTTCTTGTAACTGTTTTTCATCTTGTTTAATTAGACCTATAAGCCAGCAAAAATATATAATGGTAAAACTTTTCAAATATAGAGAAACTCCGAAACAGCTATCTAATCTCTGTGTACTAAAATTTAGTTCAGTTGTAAAGGTAAGGGATAAAAGAACAGTTAGATGTAGTTGAAAATGTCAATGAGTATTTGCCAAGTATGCCCCAAAAACTGTGTGAAAAGAAGTATGATCTTGCTCCCAAAAACTTGTGATTTGAATGTCTGTAAAAAATTATAGAAATTAGTGACTAGTCAAACAGTTTTCAAAGATTAATTATATAGAAGCCCAGGTAAGGTAAATTTTATATTAAATTGAGGTTACCACTTCCTGTCTCAAGATAGTAGCCACTACCTAGTATACTGAGTAATCTAACATTGCTGCAGTCAAAAGTAAAAATGCTTGTAATTTTGTAACCTCTTAATATGTTTACATCTAGTAAACATTTTTAAAAACTGTGTGAATCAAACAAAAAAAACATCTTTGTAAACTCTGCTTTATGGAAACAATGGTCCTTTTCACATCATTTCAAAATCTTATGTTTAAGATTGTACTTGGATTAGAAAAGTCTGGAGGTCAGACTACAAGTGGTGAATTATTATAATCATCTCAGATGAGATATAATGAAGCTACAAATTAATGGATAGTATAAAAAAGGAACTCGTTTAAGATACATTGCAGAGACATACTCTATGGATTCTGAATTAATATGCAGTGGGTACGAACAGAGTTTTATTGTGAAGTCTCGTTGATTGAGTTCAAAGCCTTGCTTCTCTCCTGACTGGCTGAGCAACCTTTAATATTTCAAATTCTCATCTCTTTCTTCAACTATAAAGTGGAGATATGAATAATAATTCCTATCTCAAAAGGTTATTGTGGACATTGAAGTGAAATAATATTTGTAAAATATTTAGCTTAGTACCTGGCTCAGTGAGAATCAATCAATGTAGCTAGTATCGCTATTATTATAATATAGCAGAATGTAAACTGAGAAGAGACTTCAGAAATAATCTAATCCAATCTAGTAATAAAGAGGGTATTTCAATATAATATAGAAAGCATTTGGTATACTCCTATTATTACTACTATTGCTTCCCCAAAACTAATAAATTGAGTTGCCTTATGCAAAAGAGTTAAAAACAAAGTGGGGGGACCTCCCTGGTGGCACAGCGGATTAAAGCACAGCACTGAGAAGCTAAAGCCACTTCCACATGAATTCGATTCCCGCCTGCCCAGGAGGTGACCACATGGCGTGGCAGACCTCTCCTGACCAGCCTGCTGCTCCCCTAAGCAGTGTACTTCGTCTATCTGCCTGTTCTGCTCCCCACTCTGTCTCTGGTGAAGCCTCTCACCACCCCTGAGCCTCTGGCCTGTACTCCAGTTCTGTATGCGCAAATAAATAAATCTTTAAAAAAAAAAAAAAAGTGGGATACTTGTGGTGCCACTAACAGAGGGCAGGGAAATGTAAGGCTTTGGACATCCAGGAATTTACAAGTGTAACTTGACTGGCCTTGACATTTCATACTTCTCTAAGGCTTTGTGAAACAAACTGGGGCACAGTCAAAAATGAAGGAACTAAAACGCATCAGCAAAATTAGGATAAATATGGAATACAGTATTAGTCCACTGCACTTTTCTCTCAGCTTCTATAAAAATTCCTAAGAGAAAAATGTTAAGCCATTTTTAATATTAAGAAATACTAAAATTATAAACACTCTTCATATCACATACAAAACTAATGCAAATAGATCTAAGATGTAACTGTAAGGGCTAAAATTATAAAGTTCTTTGAAGAAAACACAGATGTAAACTGAAGAAAACACAGATGTTTCCTTGAATTATGCAAAAGCTTGAACTATGACACCAAAAATAAAAGTGATAACAGAAAAAAAGACTAGACATCATCAAACTTAAAAAGTGTGATACTCTGGGCAACTCAAAGAATGGGAGAAAAATTTTTGCAATCAAATATCTGATAAGAATCTTATAGCTATAATATAAAGAATCTTATAACTGAATAATAAAGGCAATTCAATTTAAATGTGTGCTAATAGGCTAACCAGTCATTTTTCCAAATTTGATATAGAAATGGCCAGTAGACATACAAAAAAATGTTCAACATCATTAATCAGGGAAATGTAAATCAAAATCACAATAAGGTGCTACTTCATACACACTAGGATGGCTAGAATCCAAATGGCAGATTACATGGATTGGCTTGATGTAAAACAACTTAACCTTAAGTTTAGAGTTAGAACACTCGGGATCAAATGTAAAAGGATGCAGCCACTTTGGAAAAACAGTCTGGCAGTTCCTTAAAAAGTTAAACATAGGTCTAACCGTATGTGAATAAGAAATTGAAAGGTCTAAAATAACACAGGAGTCACAACCTACATCTACACAAAATCATGTATACAAATGTTCATAGCATTGTTTTTATAATAATCAAAAACTGAATATATTCAGCAATAAAAAGAAATGAAGTACAAATTCATATTATAATATTATAATATAAATGAACCTTATAGATAATATGTTAAGTGAAAGAAGCCAGTCACAAAAACAACATATTTTATGACTCCATTTACACAAAATTCTTGAAACAAGTGAATCCATACAGACACAGTCTGGTTCGTGGTAGCCTCTGGCTGGTAGGGAAATGGGGAGGAGGAAGACTCAACTGAGGAGTTCAGTCCTTTTGGGGGTATAATAATACCTAGACCACCTAAGACCTCTGAGAGGAACTATACATGTGTCTATTCATAAATGAAAACACCAGAGTAGTTAGATCTTATCGTTGTTTTACTTTAGTAACTGTAACACTTCACATGAAACAGAATACTGCCTTTATAAGTGTAGAGCTTACAAGTAGGTTTTTAAAAAGCCTGAGATTAGCAAAGCTTTTCAACTTAGGAAATCAATCCTATATTGGTAAACACAATATATTTTACCTACTTGAACACAATGAATCTAATTCTTCAATTGTTTGTTCTGCCTCCTGAATTTCTTGGTAAATGGCTGCAATTGGTGCCAACTCAGCATGCCTTCGATTCAAGGACTTTCGGTCTCCTTCATCCACAGAGAGATGCTGCAAATGCTGATCAATGGTTTGGTACTCCTTATTCAGGTCCTCCATATATTTCTGTAGTGCTTTATGCTTCCTGGTGTCTTGATGACAACATCTCTGGGACCAATTCTTCTTTAACAGATGATGAAGAATGTAATTCCTATTTTGTCTAAAAACCAACAGCCTTGTATCAAGATGTAGCTGGGCAAGTTGATGAGAAAGAGGGTGGATGTGGCACTGGTGGCGACCATTGAGAGATGAATGTCTAAAAAGCCAACCAAACATATGACGATTCATCTCAACATCTGAAATATAATAAACACAGTGTGAATAAAAAGTCAACTTTACAAAAGTGATAAAGCTGGAAGAAGCCTAAGAAATCTTGCTTAGTTCACTGCCTCAGTCAGTTCCAAACATAGTCCCCATATTCTGTCACCCACCCACCAAAGAGAAAATAATTCTTCAAACCTCTGAATATAACATACTAAAATAAATAAAGATGGCAGTTTTCTACCCACTCAACATGTATCAGTAACTAATGCAAACGTGTACAGAATAACTAAGACAATGTATCAACAGAATGGGTAAATTGGAAAATATCTAGAAATATCTAGAAACTAGAATTAAGCATGTGAATAAGCACTTGAAATATCTCAGACAGGGCCCTCCCTGGTGGTGCACTGGGTTAAAGCACAACACTCTGAAGCTAGCCAAGCTGCTTCTGCAGGAGTTCAATAACCGCCAGGGAGGTGACCCACATGGAACAGCAGATCTCTCCTGTCCTGCCCACTGCTCCCCTCAACATTCATAAATAAATAAATCTTAAAAAGAAATATCTGAAACAATCATGCAAACTTTAAGTGGTTCACATTCTTACACTTCTAAAATTTCAAGGAAATAAGAATTATTTTCTTGTCTAATTCATTAATTCAGATGTCATAGGAAGTCAAGTAAGTATGACTATTCATTCAGCTTGATAAAGTCAAAGCTTAGGCTAGAACTCCGGTTCACTGCTTTCAATCATTCTTCAAAATTGCTTCCCTTTTAGGTGAGATCATAAAGAAAGAAAACTTCAAATATTAGCAGATTAAACTGTACAATGGTGATAATTACACTAAAATTAAAAAAGCAGAATATAGAACAATATAACCTCAGGGTTTTCTACAGTATTTGGCATACATTAAATTAAAGAGGTGCACAGGGTATATTGAAAAAAAGGAAACAGAAAAAGAAGTATGCCAAAATCTTAACAAAATGATCCCTAGTTATAGGATCATGGGTACACATTTCGCTTGCTATTTTTCTACTGGTTAGTGTTCTATACATACAGCACTTATTACTTTCACAATCAGGAAAGAAAAGTTACTCTAAAAAATTACAAGTTAGAGGAAATGGGCTGTGTACAATAATTATCTGTTATACTCCCCTCTAACAGAGTTGAATAAGAGCTAACAAAGGCACACAATGGTTTTATTGAGTGAGCAAAGGAAAAATAATGGGTTCTATGAAAAATACTTTGCCCCTAAAATCATAAGGTTCAGAGATAAAATAAAGGTAGAAATTTATCAAAATCGACCTTTGTCTCTACTATTTCTACTATACTAGGCCTTACATATTAGCTCACTTGATAATTGTAAGCTATTAAACTTATCATCTCCTGGGAATTAAAATATTTAGGGTGGTCTCTAAAATATTAAAATTTGCAGGTTCTACTAATGAACTGTAACATACTGACTGACATTTGGAAAGCTCGTAGAAGAACGCACCAGACAAACTGTGAAAGTTACAAGTCCCCGAGAAGAATTATCTGTTCAGTATCTTTACATCTAGTCTTAAGCAAATCAGAGGTATTCCCAATTGAAAATGGTGAGAACAAAAGGATAGCAAACTTTTTTGTTAATTTTATCAGAATGATTCATTTTGGGAACAGTAGTAGAATATAGAGCTCTAAAGGTCAACAACCTCAAAGTTAATGGGAGGAGAGGTGGAAAGGTGGAAGCAACCAAGACGTTCCCTCTTTAGGGGTCTCTGTAGCTGAGAACATTGTCTCCTCCATCACCCACCAGTGCCAAGATTATTCTTGGTGACAGCGACTAGTCTAGAGCCATTCTAACTTCGGTGTGACAGATGTGACACACAGCTCACGGGAGAAGCACATGTAAACCATGCTATGGAACACCCTTCACGGAGTGAACCCGTAAGGAGGCAATATGGTATTAAAAACAAAATGGGGAAGGGAAAAAGACATTTTAAGGTGAGAAAAGAATCGTGAGTACCTAAGAAAAGGAAGCAAGGGCGTTAATTTTCCTTGCTGAGGTCGGAACCTTCAGTGACCCAAAACATCTCAGCCCGACCTGAGTGGGATCAATTTCACTTCCTGGTTCACTCCGCGGGGTAACTGGCTCCGGGTTCCTTCTCCAACCGGACGTTTCTCTAGAGGAGTCTTCCTTGGGTTGGCTTAAAAAAGAGCTGAGGAAATACTAGAGAAAAATGGCAAATCGAAAAGAAAAAAAAAAAGTGACAAAGAAAAAGCCCCATGAGACGATCACGCACCACGCTTGTCCGCCGCTCGAGCCCAGGAGTGTTTGGGAGAGGGTGTCGGGACCGCAGAGTGAACTACAACTCCCGGCAGGTCCCCGCTAGGAATCCTGGAGGTTGTAGTTTCTCACGCACCGAGTCGCCGACCCACTGCCTCCCCTCCACGCCCAGGGTCGAATGCACACAGCTTTTGGTTTTCACTTACAGGCAAATTTAGGAGAGAGACTTTAAGGTTCTCCTTAAGAGATCGACACGTACAATATATTCATGTAAACTTACAAGACTTTCCTTCTCTATGAAGCCACTAAAGCAGTTTTTCCTGAAATTATTTTCATGAGGAGTTTCTTGTCATCATTACACAAATTAAAGGTTTTTTTCCATGTTAATAGTTACACTTTCAGCTTTCATTAAGAAAATATTTAATAAGTAGATTATTAATCTCTATTTTTACAATCATAATGTCCCCCAAGTACTATATAAGTGTGTGTGTGTGTGTGTGTGTGTGTGTGTGTGTGTATATATACTCACACACATATATTATCACTAATTGTGGAGATACATACATATATAGATTTTTTTTAAAGATTTATTTATTTATGCATATAGAGCTGGGGTACGGGCCAGAGGTGCAGGGGCAGTGAGAGGATTCACTAGAGACAGAGTGGGGAGAAAACAGGCAGAGCGACAAAGTACACTGCTGAGGGGAGTAGTGAGTGGGTCAGAAGAGGTCTGCCACTCCATGTGGATCACCTCAGGGTGGGGATCAAACTCATACTGAGGTGGCTTTTAGCTTATTAGTGCTGTGCTTTACCCACTGTGCCACCAAGGAGGATCCCATATATAGTGATTTTATAGATATTACACACACTTAACAGAATTTAGGGGCTCAATATGGGTCTATAGCTTGAATACCACTGATGAAATATAGAAGTACAAAATCCAACAAATGAATAATTTGAAGAAAACACAAACATATTGCCTTATTTTGAATATTCCAATGGGATTAAGACCTTGGTAATCACATCTACAAATTCTTTGACCTTGGTGCCTCAATATTTCTTCCTTAACAATAAATGCAAAAATAGGCCCTCCCTGGTGGCACAGCGGGTTAGAGTGCACTACTGCAAGCCAGCCACAGCCGCTTCAGCATGAGTTCAATCCCTGGCCCCAGAGGTGATCCACATGGTATGGCAGTCATCTCCTGCCCCATCTGCTGCTCCCCCTTAGCAGTGTACTTCCTCAATCTACCTGTTCTGCTCCCCATTCTGTCTCTGGTGAATCCTCTCACTGCCCCTACACATCTGGCCTGCAACTCAGTACTATATGTATAAATAAAAATAAAAATCTTTAAAAATGCAAAAATAATCCCATATTACTGATCTACAGGATATTTTCATAGGTTATTACTATACACACACACACACGTACACACATCTATATCTATATCTATCTACCTATATATATATAAAAGCATTCAACACAAATGTATATATCATTTATCACCCACTTCAAGGTATCTATTTTTATCTACCACACTTAGATTCTAAGTGGTTTAAACCTATTAATTCACTTAATCCACATAGCAATCCTCCTAAAATAACTATTTTGCATGAAAAAAAGGCACAGAGAATTTAAATAACTCTTTGAATATAAAAAAAAACAGTAAGTGATAGAACCCAGATTGAATAAATTAATGTCTCTTAATGATCTGTAGTTTCTAGGTGGTGATATTGTCTCCCTTCCCCCCAAAAGAAAACATTCAATTATTCATTCGATAAATGTTAAGCATTAGTGTATTGCTCACTGTTGTCGACATGAAAATTAAGTAGTCATAGAATAACAAAAATCTTTGTAAATACAGAGCATATGAGCCAACAGGGAACAAAATCCAAAGGTTTCATATAACTCATTCTCCTAAATTGTCCAACAAAATCCTTTAATTCTGTATTTTGACTTGAATGCAGATACATATCTTAAATAGTATATGAAAACTTGATTCTCCTTAAAGAAGAAGCCTACGCTATGGACTGCATCGTATTACCACAAAATTCAGTGTGTAAAGCTAACCCACAATTTGACAGTATTAGAATTTTGTTTGTAGAAATAATGTAATGACCTTTAAGATTAAGTGAAGTCACTGGGTGAAACCCTTGATCTGACAGGATTAATGTCTTCTTTCTTCTAAGAAGAAACACTAGAAAGCTCTTACTTTCCTCCTCCTCCTTCCCGTTTCTTCTTCCCTACCTCTCTTCCTGAGCACAAAGTTGTCCTGATCATACAGCAGATGGCAGCAACTGTCTTCCAGCCAAGAAGCCTCAGAATCAAACATACTTTGCTGTACCTTGATCTTAGACTTAACAAAACTTGAGAAATGAATGCCTGTTAAAGTATCCAGTCTATGGCATGTTAATATGGCAGCTCAAGCTGACTAAAAAACTTACTTATAACGGCCTCCCTGGTGGCAAAGGGTTAAAGCACAGCACTATAAAGCTATCTTCAGCCACTGCAGCAGGAGTTCTAGCCCCCTGCCCTCCTAGGGAGCTGACCCACTTGGCTCAGCAGACCTCTCCTGACTTGCCTGCTGTTTTGATGATCCATGCATTTCAGTAGATCTGTCTGTTCTTCCCCCCACTCTATGTCTGGTGAATCCTCTCATTTCCCTTCCCTTCCCCCCCCCCCCAGCCTGTATCCTAGTTCTTTTATGCATAAATAAATAAATCCTTTAAAAAAAAAGTTACATGAGTAAAATGTTATACATGAAATTTTATGTACATTATCTATTTACTCCTCAGTTTAAAAAAATCCCTAAAGATATTTATGCTGGGTACTATAAATATTGTTCGCTATTTCATATTTTTTAAGAAGGACGATATAGCTATAGCTTTATTTATTAATATGCAAAATTTTTGCAATATATTGTTAAGTGAAGAAACATTAAAGAAAACCATTTCATTTTAAATACATATGTGATATATATATTAAAGATTTATTTATTTGTGCATACAAAACTGGGGTACAGGCCAGAGGCTCAGGGGCAGCGAGAGGCTTCACCAGAGACAGAGTGGGGAACAGAACAGGCAGATAGATGAAGTACACTTCTGAGGGGAGCAGCAGGCGGGTCAGGAGAGGTCTGCCATGCCATGTGGCCACCTCTGGGGCAGGCGGGAATCGAACTCCTGTGGAAGTGTCTTTAACTTCTTAGTGCTGTGCTTTAACCCGCTGCACCACCAGGAAGGGTTGATAAATATATTTTTAAAGTTCAACCCAAAGTGACCCAAATTCACAAAAGAAAAGTTTCTTTGAACTATAGTTATCAAAGTTACTGACATTTCAGAAGGCAGGGGCAGTGTAAAATCCAAACTGAGTCAGAAGTGTTTGAGCAGTCCATCAGCTGCAGATGGTAAATTTGGCATTAAAAGAAATCAGAGGGATGCAAGGATTACAGATATTGATACCCACGTCCTCAAACACTCACCACACACTGACTGCATGGATGCTGAGGCTTAAAATCTTGGATAAACTTGACTGACCCCATTTTCCCCTAGGAATTCACTCAAAACTTATTTAGTTCATTGACATTTCAATACTCTGATTGCTGTACAATATGTTATCTACTTAAATGTTAATTAAGAACACCAGACAACTGAAAGGTAAATAAAGTCCAGTGGAAGTGCAGATAATCTTATTTTCTTTTTTATAGTATTCTGGGTTTCCTGAAGTTTTGTCATAAATATTGTTGTAAACAAGAACACTATAGTGGGGGGGGGAGATATCATTTAATGTGTATTATAGAGCCTTATGAGAGTGTTTTTTAATTGAATCCTTTTGTGAAACTAAATAACTCCTACTTTCAAAGAATGATATATATTACAGGATAAAAATTTCCAGAAATAGTAGTAAAAAGATTGATTCTGTGAGGACAAAAAGCCTGTGGTTAAATTAGCAACAAGGGGCCCTTCCTAGTGGTGCAACCACCGCTAAGCAGAACACTCTGAGGCTATGGCAGGCACTGCAGCACAAGTCTGATGCCTGGCCAGGGAGCTGACCCATGTGGTGTGGCAGACCTCTCCTGTCTTGCCCACTGGTCCCCTCAGCAGCGTTTTTCAGTACATCTGCCTGTTCTACTCCCCACTCTGTCTTTGATGAATCCTCTCACCTCCCACACCTCTGGCCTGTACCCCAGTTCTGAATGCACTAATAAATAAATATTTAAAATAAATAAATTCGCAACAAGAAGTACCACATCTAGAATATTTCTTACTATAAAGTCAACTATGAACAGTTTCTTTGTTGAATCAATGTGTTATCACCTTTGATATTTTCATATCCCTTTGAGAAACTAAATGACCTGTGTCCCCCTCCTCCACCTTGGAGCAGCCAAAACAGGAGAGCAAACGGTACTGGTTTTCAGATCTACGAAGAGCAGACTCAGTCTAAACCCAAAGGAGTAGAGAATGGGACCACCCTGTTACAATAACACAATCTAATTAATAGCACACTATGAGGATACATTTGGTTTTTCTGGCTCTCTGGAGTTTAGCTCTTGACCACATGTTAAGAATCGTACAATGTAAACATTGGCAACAGTTTGGGATCTCAGTCAGATATATTTTACTATAGAGTGGGTGGAAACAGTAATTACTTAGCAATTTGATACAAAAGTCAGGCTCTCACTAAGGTGGAAAAGAAACACTAAATATTGTACTCATATCCCTGTGAACTATTTTCCCTAGAAATGCAGAATATAAAAAAGGAAACGAGAGCTTTCTCGTTTTCATATATTCATACTAGTTCTCAAATTTTTCTTACCTTGGAAAAAAATGCTAAGAAATGTGCCACCTGCTGGCACTACTAAAACTGAATCTCTCAAATAATTTTCAGTCACATTTTTAAGAGAATTTAAAGGTTAAAGTTCAGCCTACTAATTTCTCTTTATTCTTAAAAAAAAAAAGGCAAAAGCAAGTCAAAGGTGATTTGATCTTCGAAATGCCCTTTCTCTACCCTGAAACCAGTACTGACCGAAGTTGAAGACAGCTAT